CAATTACCATTTCGTAGGGAGAGGAGTAGGCCCACCTTATTACCTGCAAAGACGAAGCCTTCCATGGCTGGATCATACACCATGGAGGAAGCCATTGCACAGAAGAGTAAACCCCTTGTAAAGAAGTAAAAAATTAAAATAAATAAAGGAAATTCGATAAGGACAACTGTGATGCCTTCCACGAGAGCCACAATTTGCTACCTTAGAATTTAATCCCTTCCATGGCTGGACCAAACACTATGGAGGAAGTTCTTGATTGGATGCATCGCTCCCACGTAAGGACATTAACTTATCACAGCTATATATATTCAAAGCATGGCCTGTGCAATTAACATCCAGAGTATCGTCTTTGCGTCAGCTTATCACGACTGCTTATATATTCACTCTCCTCTCAACATCAGCTTCATTACAGTGGTTTATATTTCAAGTCCGACCCGCATTTAAATATTTGACTTGGGGGACTACTGTAATACCAATATTTTTGTATCATCACATTATTACTGCTAGTATATGCATTATATTATTGCTGTCAAGTATGTATGCCACATCATTGCTAGCATGCCTCATGACACTATTTTCATTACTGCTAGTATGTATGCTACGTTATCTATATTATTATTTTATAAACATTATGTTACTTCACGCTAATGAGTTTGATATGATCGTCATTTTACCTTATTTGGAGGGGGAAATGGATCCCAAATTTATTTTATATATGCGTGGTAGAAATATTATGTTGTATTACAGGTTGGCTTAATCCATATTACAGAGGAGATACTGTCGAAATTTTGACAAATTATATGTGACATCTTTTGAGGTAATCTATAAGTCCTCGCTTATTCAAGCTCGCATAGATATTTTCGAGGTAGTTCATAAGTCCTCATATATTGGATTGACTTGTATTCTCAAGACAATTCGTAAGACTTTATCTATTTGAGATCGATGCATATTTTCGAGAAGGTTCGTAAGTCCTTACTTATTGGAGCTACTCATATTTCTGAGGCAATCTGTAAGAGCTCACTTAGTTGATTACTTATATTTTGAGGTCCAACCCGCACATGAATGAACGACTCAAACTTGGAGGACTATTGTTATATCCATAACTTACGTAGCATGCGAGTGATGGAGGGGGTCCCATATATACCAACGTGTCATCGATTATTCATTGATTGGGCGTATTTTAATTGAACAATTGCATATTAGACTTGGAACTTGGGTCCGGCCCATTGGCTCATGAGGTGCATTGACATTTGTCTCAATATATAGATTCATTCACGCATAAGGTATGATTTATAACCTTAACCAAAACCAAATCTTCTCTCCCTCTCTTGTATTCATATTTCTCTCATTCGACCATTGACTTAACCGTCGGAGTGTAAACGGTCGTCGGAATTTTTTCTCGACCGACGGCCTTTGCATTCTAATAGAGTGCTGCAGTATGCAGGTGACGTTTAAGTGGAGAAAAAGCGGTCGGGATTTTGTTTGCGCATTTTTTGGGGTCAACAAGAACAATGTTTTCCTTTTCTTGGCAACAGATTGACGATGTTCTTTTTTTATTTGTAGTGAAGTTGGTCCACTGAAATAATTGGTGGATGACGTCATATTCAATTGGATTCAAAAAACATGAAAAGTGTAAAATAATATTCACAGAAGTATTATTCCAAATGTGGAATTTTATTTTTGCAATTTCACATAATTTTCGTTGTACAACATACAAAAATTAAAAATTAAACTCACGTAATTAGCAATCATAATGTTGAGATTAAATTGCAGCTTCAATAATAACTTTTTTAATTTTTTAAAGCTTTTGGCAAAAAATTGTTGAAATTCCTTCATGAAAACAAATTTATCACCCCAATGTAATGCCAATTGAAAACAAACAAATTGAAATCAAATAATTTTTTTACAGTACAATTGTAGGCTTCATATAAACAAAAGCATCCTTTACAATTTTGATACACTATTATCCAAAGTCCAAGTAATGAAAAAAATATTACTTCAGTGTACATATTTTAGCGAAAATGGGTAGCAATAACCTTAAAAAAAAAAAAAAAATCTCTTGTTACAAAATGGGCAAGTGATAAGACATGAAATGTCATGATTTACATCCATTAATTCTTACATTTTTATGACTAATTAACACCTAAATATGCTAAGTACCCTTATATTGTGATTTAGGTTGCATTTGGATGATCATGACATAAAATAGAAGGAAATACAAAAAAGGACCTAAATGAAAGAAATCAAAAGTTCATGGACTAAAATGAAAATATCCAAAAGTTGAATCGGAAGGAGAAACGAAGGAGTGAAAGATTTGAAGGTCAATTGATGGAAGACTTAAAGTGTTGGAAAAAGGAAAACAAGAAAAAGAAGCCAAGGAAAGAGAAGATGAAAGCTGAGGGAACAAGTCGCAAATAATCCCTAGATGAGACAAGCAATGGGATGAAGATTCAAGAGTGTTAGAGGTCAAGTGGGTGAGGAAGGAAGTCAAAGGGATGAAATACAATAAAAGTATAATGACACATCAATATCCAATCGAATAGGTTATGCACCGGTTTTCAGCATCATATTGGGACCCCTTTTTGACATGGTAAACGATCAAATTGGAAGATGACATCTGAAGAAAAGTTGTAGCCCTTTGAGTTAGCTTTCCAACGCACTTTGAATCACCTCAATCAAATATCAAGAAAGAATGTTACGATTAAAATACTGAAAGCTATCCGACGGGGAAACGGTTGTTCTATGCAGTCCCATAGTTCAAATCCAATGCGGTAGCATTCCGACCTTCAGAGAGCTTTTGGGCTACAAATCATTGTTCTCTGCAATCGCAACACTTATAACTATGCAATTGCATAGTTCATTTCTGACACGCGATTTTTAGTTTCCTAATTTAAATCAAATACTCATGGAAACAAATCTTGTACACCATATATAAGCCTCAAATCTCGTCCAAAATAGGGAAAACGCCCCCAACCCTATTTTTCTCTCTTTGTGCTCAAGATCTATGATGTGCAATTAATTTCTTTTGCTTGATCGAAGGAGACGGAAGCCTTGGAACAATTAAACTGTGAGATCCACTTGACTTTTTTTGATTAATCAAATCTTCTTCTGCAATTAATTTTATGATTGTTGTATTTGATTTCTAGAGTGCACACTAGGTTATTAATCTCAATAATCTATAGCTAAGTTGAATTTCAAAATTGTAATTGTTGATTGGTTTAACTTATGAAGCAACTAAGATTGACAATTTGCTGGTTGGAAATTATTAAATCTTAGGGAGAAGATTTATCTAGATTAAATGCAAACGATTGGTTTGTGTTATCTAGTTCATTGATTTATCTAATTCACGAAGCCATTATTAAATTAAATTCTCACGTTTGTCTAGGATTGTTTGATAATGAGGATTAATTAGATCGCTTGTTTCTAATTAATTAAAACTAAGGAAAAATAGGCGAATTGTTTCGAATGGGAAATTTATTTTTCACAATGAATGCTACAATTATGAATTGATGATTATTTGCGGATCAATGACTAGTTATTAATTTTCAACGGTGGATGTTGACTTAGATCAATATTTGTTTTTTTACTTATATTTAATTCGGTAATTTGTATTATTTCAAGAAAATCAAAACTCCCCATTTTAGTTAATATTGTATCAAAAAGTAAATTAATCACTCTTCGTGGGATCGACCTTTACTTCCACTACTATATTAATTTTAAGAAGTATAGGTTTTAATTTGGAGTGCCTACGACAGCACGCACCAAATTTTGGCGCTACTGCCGGGAGTGATTTAGTTTATTTTTGTACTTTTTATTTGTTTCATTAGTTTTTGTTTTCAATTTTTTTTTATTTTGTTTAGTTTAGTTTTTTTTTTCTTTTCTTTTTGCTTCCTTGATTGTTTATGCCCATAACTCGATCCTCTAACCAATGTAATTTACAATACGATCCATAAATAGAAAGATCTTTGTGCAGGTTGAGGATTGGCATGGCTAGGAATCAAACTTTGAAAGAGCTTTCAGCTCCGGATTTGCGTTAACAACCCTTATGCATAATGTTTTCTAATAGCTAATACTACTTTTGAATTAAAATCCAAACTAATACATCTATTCCCCACCTTTTATGGTCTTGCTGGTGAAGATCCCCATAAACATTTGAAGGAATTCCACGTGATTTGTACAAGCATGAAACCTACGGGGGTAATTGAAGAGCAAATTAAACTGAGAGCCTTACCGTTCTCTCTGAAGGATTCAACTAAGAATTGGCTCTACTATTACCATCTGGAAGTGTCACAGCATGGGAGAAAATGAAGAGGATGTTCTTAGAAAAATATTTTCCAACTTCAAGGGCAGCAAACTTCTGAAAAGCAATTTGTGGCGTAATATAGGACAGCAATGAATCCTTACATGAATACTATGAGCGTTTCAAGCGACTGTGTACAAGCTGTCCTCGTCATCAAATCAATGAACAACTACTTATCCAATATTTTTATGAAGTGCTTCTACCCACAAATAGGAGTATGATTGATGCTGCGAGTGAAAGAGCTTTGGAGGATAAAACTCCCAAGAGCGCAAGGAATTTGATTGTAAACATGATAGCCAACTCTCAACAATTTAGCACTAGACTCGACACTCCTTCTAGACATGTTAATGAGGTAAATGTTTCATCACTTGAGCAACAACTTGCAAGTCTAACTTCTCTTGTTCGTCAAATGACTGCAGGTAATATGCAAACGGCGAAGGCATGTGGAATTTGTTCGGTGGCAGGACATCCAATTGACGTGTGCCCAACTCTTCAAGAAGATGAACAAGTTAATGCAGTATGCAGCTTTCCTGGACAACCACAAAGGAATTATAATCCTTACTCGAACACCTACAATCCAGGATGGAGGGATCATCCTAATCTTAGCTATGGGAATCAACAAGTGAATCAACCAAACTTCCAGTAATACAGGTAGCCATATTCTCCTAGACATCAACATGACCAAACTTCAAGTTCGGGTATGCCTTTAGAAGATATTGTTAAATCTCTTGCCACTAACACTTTGCAATTTCAACAGGAAACAATGGCAAGTATTAAAAGTTTGGAAAATCAAATGGGTCAAATGGCAACCTCAATCAACAAGCTGGAAGCACAAGGTTCGGGAAAATTACCCTCTTATACAATGGTCAATCCAAGGAAAAATGTAAGTGTAATCTTGTTTAGGAGTGGTAAGGAAGTTGAAATTCCAAGGGCAACCCCTATATTATTGGAACAGGAAAATGAGAAAGATGTTCTTGAAGAGAAGAGTGTTCCCAACGACAATGACGTACCTAAACGTAAGTTTCCACCTCTTTCTGATTATAAACCGGTACCCCCTTTCCCTCAGGTTTTAGTAGGATATAGGAAAGATGAACGAGATCATGAGCTTATGATACTTTGTGTAAATATGAGGTAAACATTTCAATGTTGGATGCTATTAAACAAGTACCTCATTATGCTAAGTTCTTGAAAGAATTGTGTACCCTTAAAAGAAAACAAAAACTTAAAAGGTTTGAAAAGATAAACGTAGGGGAAAATGTTTATGCATTCATTCAAAGAAAACTCCCTACAAAGTGCAAAGATCCAGGCATGTTTAACATCCTTTGCACGATAGGTACCACTAGATTTGAAAAGGCCATGTTAGACTCAGGAGCTTCTATTAATGTCATGCCATACTCTGTATACGCTTCCTTAAAACTTGGACCTTTGAATGAAATTGGTGTCGTAATTCAACTAGCTGATAAATCTAATGCCTATTCTAAGGGTGTAGTTGAGGATGTTCTCGTGAAAATTAATGATTTGGTTTTTCCCGCTGACTTCTATGTGCTTGATATGGGATATAGTAATCAAACTATCCCCATTCTACTAGGAAGACAATTCTTAAGGACATTCAAAGCTAAAATTGATTTTTATAGTTGCGTGCTTACTATGGAATTTGATGATAAAATCAGTGAATTTAACATTTATGAGCCATGAAACATCCTGATGAAACTAACCCTATTTATTCTATTAAAGTGATTGATAATTTAGAACAGGAAGTTTTAGAACATGATGAAAACAATGCAGTCAAAGTTGCCATTGATAAGCATATTGAGGATGTGAATCAGGAGTTACCCTCGAATACTGCCTTGCAGAAAATTATTGCAGCATTAAATGCTTCTCCAAAGTCACCAAAGTCAGGTAAAAGTTCGCATATTGTTTTGCCAATTGCTAACGAGAGGCCTTTCTATGCAGGTTTCCAAATGGATGAAGTGAGAACATGGGACCTTGGGAACCCAATTGATGCCGATTGAGGAAGGAAGCAATGTGTCTAGCCAAAGACAATAAATAAAGGCGCTGTTTGGGAGGCAATCCAAGGAGAGTTCGTTCCTTTACTTTTTATTTTTCTTTTCGTTTTCGAAAACGCTATCCCATCTGTCAATTCTTTTCTTAAAACCTAATGGTCGTGTACCCAAGGTAAGATGATGACATCCAAGCATAGATCAGAGAAGGCCTTAAACGAATCCCGGTGAGCAAAAGAAGGATTCCATCACCACCCAGCACCCAAGCACCCAAAACCTCCTTTCCAAACTTGCTCGCTTTGCTGGTTTTAGGCTCTGATTTGCATTCATATTTTGGTTAAATTTGTTTTCTTCTTGACATTTCACTTTACATTGGGGACAATGTAAGTTTTAAGCGTGGGGGAGAGGGGGAATTTAGGTTGTTTTTTTATTTTTAATATAGGTCATGCTTCCGTTACTTCTGACAAGACAAAAAAAAATTTCGAAAAAAATTGAGGAAAAAGTTGTGATTTTAAATGATTTTTGGTTGCATATACTACTTGCTAGGTTCAATTAGGCTCTGATGGACTCATAACATGAATGAATAAGTGATCTTCCAACTTAGAGTTAATTAGTATGGTTATTCTTTTTGAGGATGGTGGTAACTAAATTTTGTAGACAAAGAGTCGGTGAGATTTTGAGCCTTCATTTGTCTCACTATTTTCTTTCATGAGTGATTTTCTTCCATTGATTTGTTTATCTAGAACTTGCCTTGATTCTCTTTGAGGTCATATTGATACATGCATGCATGAACATGATTAATGCCATCTTTATTGCATAAGTTCGCTACCTTAGCCAAATAGCCTACCATATAATTAATTTTACCTTTTGTTAAGCCTCTTTGAGTCTTATAGCCTTTTTCTTTTGTAAATCCACGTTACAAGCTTTAAATTCGAAAAAATAATATCTTTACCCAAGCCATAGAGCTAATGGGTTATTGTTTTTCATTTTGATACATGGGAGTGCGAAAGAAATAAGTGTGGGGGTGTCTAAAATTTTGGTAGGATTATGATGGTGAAATGAAAGATGTTCTCAATTACAATTCATAAGTTTCAATATTAGTGCAATATTTTGAGTTAAAAAAATCGAAAAAAATGATGAAAAGATGAAAGAGAAAAAAGTCATGGAGGAAATAGTTTTCAATGTTATAAAATTATTTTATGTTCATAATTCCTCCTAATATATTACAAGTTTGGTTGTGTGAAATAGGTGCAAAGAAGTTGTGAGTGGAGAGATTGATCTTACACTTTTTATGTATACGTTTGAGTTGAGTTAATTCATCTTTACTCCACTAATTCAATGGCTTTTGAGTCACTTATCCAAATACTTCCCATCTGGACCCCAAATCACGTTACAACCCATAGAAAAGACCTTATGATTTATGTTATACATGTGATCTGATTGGTGGACAATGAGAACATATGCAAGCATATGGTAGAACATCTCTATTGGAATGAACTTGAGCGAAACACTTACCCATTAAACACATGAGAGCGGAGTGCTTATATTCCGTGAGGGTCTACATGTTTGGTTTACTCCATCTTAATATGAGAATACTTTCTAATTGATTATAATTTGTGTGAGAATGTTCGTTCATGATATGTTATGTGTTTTGGCGAGTTTGGTTATTCTATGTTGATAGCATGACAATCTTAACATCTTTGTGAAAGTGAATTTGAATGTTACTCGAGGACGAGTAAAAGCTAAGTGTGGGGAAATTTGATAAAACATGAAATGTCGTGATTTATATCCATTAATTCTTGTATTTTTATGACTAATTAACACTTAAATATGCTAAGTACTCTTATATTGTGATTTATGTTGCATTTGGATGATCATAGCATAAAATAGAAGGAAAGAGCGAAAAAGGACCTAAAAGAAAGAAATCAAAAGTTCATGGACTAAAATGAAAATATCTAAAAGTTGAATTGAAAGGCGAAATGAAGGAGTGAAAGATTTGAAGGTCAATTGATGGAAGACTTAAAGTGTTGGAAGAAAGAAAACCAGAAGAGAGGCTAAGAAGAGAGAAAATGAAAGCTCATGGACCAAGTTGCAAATAATCCTCAGATGAGACAAGCAATGGGATGAAGATTCAAGAGTGTTAGAGGTCAAGTGGGTGAGGAAAGAAGTCAAAGGGATGAAATACAATCAAAGTATAATCACACGTCAATTTCCAATCTAAAAGGTTATGCACCGATTTTCAGCATCATATAGGGACCCCTTTTTGACATGGTAAACGATCGAATTGGAAGATAATATTTGAATAAAATTTGTAGTCCTTTAAGTTAGCTTTCCAACGCACTTTGAATTACCTCAATCGGATATTGGGAAAGCAAGTTACGATCAAAATACTGAAAATTGTCCGGTGAAAAAACGGTTGTTCTATGCGGTCGCATTCTGACCTTCAGAGAACTTTTGAGCTGCAAATCATTGTTCTATGCGATCGCAACCCTTATAACTATGTGATCGCATAGTTCATTTCCGATTTTTAGTTTCCTAATTTGAATCAAATACTTACGGAAACAAATCTTGTACACCATATATAAGCCCCAAATCTCGTCCAAAATGGGGAGAACGCCCCCAACCCTATTTTTCTCTCTTTGTGCTCAAGATCTATGATGTGCAACTAATTTCTTTTGCTTGATCGAAGGAGACGGAAGCCTTTGAACAATTAATCTTTGAGATCCACCTGATTTTTATTGATTAATTCATATGCTTAGTATTATATCTTCTTCTGCAATTATTTTTATGATTGTTGTGTTTAATTTCTAGAGTGCACGCTAGGTTATTAATCTCAATAATCTATAGCTAAGTTGAATTTCAAAACTGTAATTGTTGATTGGTTTAACTGATGAAACAACTAAGATTGATAATTTGCTGGTTGGAAATTATTAAATCTTAGGGAGAAGATTTATCTAGGTTAAATGCAAACGCTTGACTTGTGTTATCTAGTTCATTGATTTCTTTAATTCGCTAAGCCATTATTAAATTAGATTCTCACGCCTGTCTAGGATTGTTTGATAATGAGGATTAATTAGATAGGATTGTTTGATAATGAGGATTAATTAGATCGTTTGTTTCTAATTAATTAAAACTAAGGAGAAATAGGGAAATTTATTTTTCACAATGAATGCTACAATTATGAATTGACGATTATTTGTGGATCAATGACGGGTTATTAATTTCCAACGGTGGATGTTGACTTAAATCAATGTTTGTTTTATTGCTTATATTTAATTTGTTGATTTGTATTATTTCAAGAAAACCCCCCATTTTAGTTAATATTGCATCAAAAAATAAATTAATCACTCTTCATGGGATCGACCCTTACTTCCACCACTACATTAATTTAAAAAAGTATAGGTTTTAATTTGAAGTGCCTACAACAGCACGCACCAACAAGCTTCATACTGATAGAGAACAACTTGATTAGAGCTTAATTTCCCAAGCACGGGTTCCTTAGCATGGACCTCTCCGAAAAATAATGGAACATGTAGGCGTATATAAGGGTTTTGAATTGGGTGGGTTTAGAATGCAACAGGTTCAAAGGAGATAAATTGGTATATGGCTAATTACAAATATTTGATTTAAACTTGATCCATTTAAGTTGGGCTAAAGTGGGTAAATGGGGAAAAAATCATATCTCACCTATTAAGTATGAATCAAATCAAATCTCTGAGATTAAGTTTCAAAATACAAAAATCAGGTTTTTATTTTTATTTTTTTTAGTTTCAAATAATAATATTATCAAATTAAATTAATCAACGCATACCCACCCTAACTGCCCCCATCCCACTTACTGGTGTCCACCCGTAGCCTACATCTCTTCGATCTCCACCTCGTCGACGACTTCTTCAGCGACGAACTAATCGCTGCTCCGGATGTAATTTATAGAGCACTTAACGGAGCAAATAATTTGAATTGTCATCGCCAAATTTTGTTTATTTGAATTTGTGATCAGTTTGGATAACTAAGGTTGGAAAAATCAATGGCATGTGACTAGATTTCTTGAAATTATGACATGTGACGTGGGCATTTTGACATGTGACCTGTAACTTGATCGAATAACCTGTGACCAAATCTCTTGGATATGTGATTTGTGACTTGAGCCAATGGTCTATGACCAAATTTCTTGCATTTGTGACTTATGCATTTGATGTGTGACCTACGACCTGATTTAACCGCTTGTGAACAAATCTCTTGAATTCGTTACCCTTGAAGTGTACACTTTAACATGTACCTTGTTATATGTGCTTTGACTTGATCCAATGGCAGGTGAACTAATATCTTCGATCTATGTTATGATAAATGGCCCGTGACCAAATTTCTTGCATCCGTGATTCGTAACCTATGCATTTTAACATATGACCCATGTAATTTGATAGGCCACATATTCAAGAGATTTGGTCACCAAAACTTAATCGATTGTGACCTACACACCTTTGTCATTACCACCACTTCGAGCACCTCATCTCATATCCACCACAACAAAGACCATCGCTTGCAACAAAAAAACCATTGCCGCCTGCAATACTACCAATAGAACTACTACTTCTATTAACACCTGAAAGACCGTCGCCATCATCACCCACAAACCACCTCTACCGCCATCATTTCAATAACACCAACAATAATTAAAAAAAATAGAAAACCAGAATAACCCCATATCTGTAAGCAATCGTCTCGATTCAATGTGGGCCTCTATAAGCGACGAGAGTGATCTGAATGCTGATCCGAATAACCCTAAACCTAACTTGTAAACAACCACCTAGATTTGAATGTCGTTGTCCATGGCCTTGCATCAGAGCTCCGATGATGAGTCACAAGAATAGGAGAGTGAGAGATGAGAGAGAGAGAGAGAGAGTGTGTGTGTGTGTGTGAGTGAAAGATCAAGAGGAGAGAGACTACAATTCTGGGTTTCATTATTACCTTATTTACACTCAAATAAACTTAATACTTGATTTTAGAATTGTCATCTTTAAACACCTGTTGTGGTGCAATTTCCTCGAGTAAATATTGAATAGGGTAGCCAGTGGGTTAATTTTAAATTTGGGCCGAACTGTAATTCTTTTTAGTGGAAATTATACCCTTCCTTTAAAGATCTCATTTCTTAAATCATACGCTAAGTTTATTTATACAAAAATCAAATGATAATATAATTTTTAAATAATAATAATAATAATTTTATAAAAAAAGTAAATTGTATTACAACTCCACGTCTCCACCACAACCCCATTCCAACCCAAACCCTACCCTAAATCATATTTCATTTCCCCCTATTCAAATATCCATTCTCTCTGTCTACCGCCGTCGTGAGAAGCAATGTGAGAAACCCACCATCGGAAGCCACAGCAGCAGTACCATGAGAAGTCATAGAAGCAACGTCCACACCTGGGCGACAACAGTGCTGTCGTATTCGGCGTTGCTACAGCAATTGCTGGCGGCGCTGTGCTCATCCCCTAGTGATTTTGCGATTTTTTTGTGGATGGTGTTTGGTGGTGGATGTGGTGTGGTGTGGTGTTTGCGTGGTGGTGGCGAATCTGAGCTATCAGATTCATCAAAACGGGTGGTGGTAGTGGTGGCTATGATAGTTTTTTGCGACGTCTTAGATTTGGTGGTGGTGGCTACAGCTTAGATCTGGTGGTGGCAGTGAAGGCTCTGTTGTATTGTTGGTGGTTTTGTTCAGTGGTGGTTGCTCTGTTGTGGTGGTTAATTTGTTGATCTGTTGGGCTTGATCGGTTTTGTGGTAAGGTGGTGGTGGTTGATGTGGCGAAGGTGCTCTATTGTGGTGGTGGGTCTGTTGGTGTGTTGTGGTGTTGATAGGTTGTCTTGAGGTGGTGGTGGCTCTGTTGGCGAAGGCTCTGTTGTGGTGGTAGCAGTAATGGTGATAGAGATGGTCGAGGCGGTGGTCGTGGATAGGATGAGATGGGATTGGATGCTTGTGACCGTGGTGCGCGACGGCGATAATTTGGGGCGGTTGTGGACCGTGACTGTGACTTCCAACTGTGGTGGTGGTGTGTGGCCGTCACCGTGGTGGCGATGAAAATTGTGACTATGATCGTCACTCTCAATTGGATACGTGACCTGAAAATTTTGTCAGTGACTCACAATTGTAACTCACAATTGGATACGTGACCTAAAAATTGTGAATCGTAAGTGTTGGTGGTGGTCACAAATTATTTGGTTGACTGTGACCATTAAATTGGTTAATCTGTGATCAATAAATAATATGTGACCAATGAAAAAGATGAATTTTGACCGAAAAATAATGTATAACCTAAAAAATTGTTAATCTGTGACCGATAATTTGATAATTTGTAATTGTATAATAAGCTGTGACTTGTAATATTTATAATTTGTGACCAATAAATAAATCGTAACTTAGAAAATTTTCGATTTTTGACTGATGAACAAACTGTGACCTATAAAATTTTTGAATTGTGACCGTAAAATAATTTGTAACATAAAAATTCGGATTTGTGATCAAAAAATAATAAGTAACAAATTAAATCGTTAATTTGTGATCAAATTATATAAATCTGTGACCTAAATATATTTAATTACTAAAATAAATAATTAATTAATTAAATTATAAATTATTTTTTAATAAAAATCTGGTTTTTGAAATTTAAAAGTTGTTTTCTTATTTTTGAAATGTAGTATAATTAATCCCTCATTTATGAAATTTTCCGTTCTTTTTATCAAAAAATTTACAAACATAATTCCTTTCTGGGCCGAGGCCCATATCCGCCCCTCGCCCCGTAAATAATTCCATCTCTCGCTCCTCTCTTCCATTTCTTGGAACAATTAATGACAACAGACACAGGAACTACTGGAACTCAAATATAAAGTTGAAAAGACTAACAAAGTATGACTAAAATTTAAGGTTGCATAAAGTGTGAACTTGGAAGGTACCTCAAGATTTTTGTCCAAAAAGTAAATTTGAGAAGTGTTTATAACTATTTAAATTATAAATTGATAAAAATGTATGATGAATAAAGAAATATACTTTTGAATATTTTAAAATATATGAATATAAGAGTATTCTCAAGAGTCTCTCTAAATAAAGGATGCTTTGTATTTTGAGAAGTTAATGCTTTAAAATACGTTTAAAGAAACCTTATATTTATAACTTTTTAAAATAGAGAATGTGTTTTGACTCTTTAAATTTAGAGAATCAAACCTACTTTTTATTCTTAGCCCTTGTTTGAGCCACGTTATATTCCTAAAAATGCATTTTTGAATAATGTACTGATTGAAAATGTGTGGTTAAAAATAAATAAAAATTTTGAATTTGCATGTAATATTATTTTATTGAAAAATGTGTGATTGAAATGATGTCAAATTACTGTTTAAAAATGTATTTTTCTAAAAAAATATGACCCAAACATGGCTTTAATATATAATGATTACATTTAATAAGCCACAAATTTTATTACTATATTTTTTAAATTATTCAATTTATTTAAATTGATTGGCGATTAATATATAAAAAATTATGTTAAATTAAAATATAATGAGAAATCAATAAATGTTTCATTAGAAAAGAAAAAATAAAGAGCCAGAATAGAGAGCATAAAAATTTTGACTTTCTAAATTTAAATATGTTCTCTATAATACATAAAATGTATAAAATGCTCGTGTCTTGAAGAAGCTGCAAGGGTGTCTTTGGTTGCAAATATGAAATTTGAATAAAAAGCAAATAAGTTCTAGTCAGTTGCATGAAAATTATCAATTAAATATATTTAATTGATTTAATTTTCAATTTTAAAAATATTGTTCATTTTCATAAACCTGAATTTTTAAGAAGTATGAATTGCCTAAAAAATAAAAACTTATCTATCTTAAAGAAAATATTTTCTTTATTTTTGAGAAAAATATGATTATGTGACTAACTTTTAAAAAATATTTTTATTGGAAAGGTTGTCAATCAACCCATGTTTGGTAGCAATTTTTTCATCCTAAAAAATAAATATTTTGATCATTTTTCACTATTTCAATCGTCGTTTTTTGATTTTTTCACTCTCATATAGGATCAACTTTTCTCTCTAACGATTAAAAAATTAATTCTCATACTCATTATTGAACATATCCTAAATACTTCAAAAAGTAAGAACTCGATGGAAAAAATACATTTTTTTTTTTTTTTAAATGATGGGTTTACAAACATGAGCCACGCAAATATAAAAATGTGAAAGACACTGATTTGACCTTTGTCGGAAGGCACGAACTAGTTCTTTGGCGGCGATGCAAATTGAGCCGCCATCCTTATCTTTCTTTGTAGTTTTGCATACAATTTTTCTTTCACTGCCATCCGTTTCCTTTTGCCATTTGCATACAAGAGAGATTCCAATAATCCAAATCAAACTCATCTTTATCTCCCTCTCTTATACCCAATCTCAGCCATCGCTTATTCGCCACATTTTTCACTCATTGAGATCCCAAACTTCATAGAGAAGGAACAGAATAGGCAGAAATATTTGCGGGCTTAATTTTCTTTCTTCATGCGGTCCTGCATCTCCAAATTTTTCCAATGGCATCGCGGTTGCAGAAATTTCAGTTTGGTACGCCACTTTGCTTTTTTTGAAATACTTCTACGATGTTTATGCTGCACTAAGTTATTTGCACCCAATTTAGTAATATATTTTGTTGTGATGGGTTGGGCTGCATTCATAAATAACCATAAATTGGGTAATTGATCATGTGCACGATTGCTTTGATTAGAACTGAGTTTGATTTGAATGTTTTTCTTCGTGCTCGTGATTATGGAAAATGATATGATCGTGGTTTATGTATTTACGACTTTATAGTTTTGGTTGGCGTGTTCCATATGCTAATCCTGTGTACTTATGTGATAAAAACCTGTGACGAGATCGTTGCTGTTATTTAAAATTGAAAAAGGGTTCCAAAAAAAAAAAAAAAAAAAAAAAAAAAAAAACTTATTTTTATTGTTATTTTTAGTACCGCACGATAAAACTTAAGCTTCAGAAGATGTGGATAGTTACACTTATGAACGGACATGATTTATTTGGGATAGTGTCAATTGAAATTTGAGAAATAAGTTGGTACTAATTGATAATGTTGCAGATGAGGGACACGTTATCGCACCAAATTTTAATTCATTTATGTAAACTCATTATCATCCAAAATTTATCTTTTTCCACTATTTCTTTTGTACTATTCGGAAATGTTGAGAAGCCTTTAATGAATCTTCCTTATATTACCAAGTTGGCCACAAGGACACTGTGCATTTGATAACTTGTCAATTTACCATGAAGGCTAGTGATAGTGAAGTTACGCTGGAATATTCTGCATGCCAAAGCCTTTTAGGTTCCACTTGAACGATTGATTGTTTTTTCACATCCTTCCATTTTTAGACTCGGGAAGAAGGGATGGAGAAGCATTAGTTATTGTTTCCACTCAATGCAGTTGTAGCATTCTTTTAATTTACTTTTCTTGGGCAATCCAGTTGCTCTATATGAAGAGTAATTTGTTTTTTTCACTATGCTAACTAGTTCATACCCTTCCTCACAAGAAGTATTTTAGTATCATTCACGAAGAAATTGCAATAGTTAGATTTGCAGACAGATTGCTTCATTTTCATTTTTGTAGCTTTGTCTTTGATGTAGGGAGATTAATAAATCTGTGAATAACAAGAAGGGATGGGGGAGGGAAGAGAAGAAGAAGGAAAACGGCTGCAAAATCAATTCTTTAATTCATCAAATTCATCAATTCCCAAATTACAAACCAATGATAGGTTTAAATAATGAAAACCTAGAAATATAGGGCCAAGCCCATTATTTAAGTCCTAATTAAAATACGTAAACTTAAATAAAAGTCCAACTGAAACAATAATAAAAGTCCAACTAAAATACTGAAACAATAATAAAAGTCCAACTATAAGGATGTCCTCATCAACTCTCCCGGGGTGGGAGAAAACTCGACCCTGTCGAGTGGATATATCACCGTAGGCATCTGTCAATCTCCCAACCATAAGCTGAGTGGCTGGGCAAGCTTCTTCTTGCGTCTGTAGAAATGCGTCAGTGGCGGTCTGAATCTGGTGTCCTCACCAACTCCCCTCGGGTGGACGGGAGGCGATCTGGGCCAAGGAAGATCCTGCTGACTCCGATAAAGCTCTAGCAAATCTGGATCCAAATGCTGTAGTGTCTCCCTGGAGATCCATGCACAATCAGAATCTGGTCAACCAACCCAACGAACAAGGAAGCGCTGAACCTCTCCATCATTAGTGAACACAGTTTCTTCATCTAAAATAGCA